TGTGAATACTTTTCCTAACGTTCACATTGCATTAAGAATATATTTGTCGATTCTTGGATCAAATGCAGAAGGAGAAAGATCTTTCTCCAGATTAAAATTTATAAAAAATTATTTGCGTTCAACAATGAATCAAGATCGTTTGGCATCTCTCGCACTTATGTCTATTGAATACGACATTTTGCGTAGTTTGGAATTCGACAGCATAATACAAGATTTCGTTGAATCCAAAAATCGCAAAAAAGTAATATATTAGATCATAAGATTCTGCAAAATAATTTATTACCGTAAAATACTTGTATTATATTTTTATTTGTATCTTCATAATTTTGTGCAAAATACACTTGTTGTTTTTAAAGCTAAACTATTTTTGACAACAAATTTTTTTCTCACAAGTTTTTCATAGGCCCCTGAATTTCGTAGGCCCTAGGCACGTGCCTAGTGTGCCTATAGGTTAATCCGGCCCTGCTTCCAATGATTGCAAACACTAGAAAAAATTTTAATAGAATAAAAAAAGTATTAAAAGTTTAGCTTTGGTTTTAAAAATATATAAATAATTTATTTTAAATATCAATAATTATAAAATTTGATGTCTATATACAGGAGAATGTTAAAATATCACTAATAATTTGTAGAATAAATATATATTTTTATCCATCAACACCTTTTCCTAAGCCAGTCCAGCGGTCTGGAACCCATAGGAAATAACTGTCCATGGCTTCACAGAATCGAATTTTATAAAGCTCAGGAGATACAACTGTAGGCATTTTTCCATGTCCTCCCAGAATTCCTGAAGATTTAATCAGCATCTCTACTTTTTTGTCCCAGGTAAAAGTTCGAATATAATCTAGAAAACAAAAGAAAAAGCATTAAAACTAAAGTACACAATCAACAATACCTCCTGCATTATTTGAATGTAGGGTTTAGTTGCACAAGTTCAATTCAATAAAAAAAGGGGGGACATTTTGTTCTAAACAAATGGTCTTAAAATAGAAAGGTTAAGTACAGGACAGAACCCATTATCCAGAAATCAGGAAACCGGAAAACCAAAAAACCGCAACGAAATTCGATCAATTTTCCCGCCATTTAAAAAAAAAAAAAACTTTTTTCCTCATAAGATTTTAGGATTTTTCTTTCTTTTTTGAAAGATGTTCACCTTACCATAATTTTGGAAATGATCATTAGTGTATTATTTCATCGTTTTTTCTTCTTTTTAAGAATATTTCAAAAAAAAAATTTTTTTTAGTTGGGTTTAACAATAAAAAAACGGCTTTTTGTAGCAATTCAGAAAACCGGAAAAATCAGTTATCCGGAATAGCGACGGTCCCGATAATTCCGGATAATCGGTTCCCTACTGTACACACTACAAAAACATCTTCATACATGATATTAATAAAATGGTACATAACAAAACAAGTACATTTATTTAAAATTATATAAAAGTTGCTAAATTATATAAAAGATAAAAGTTGCCAATATTTATGCGGTAGAGCACCATGGAAAACAAAAATTGTGGATAATTCGAAAGTTCCAAAAGGCGGAAGCACAAAAACAATTTAAAAATTTATTATAATACAAGCGTATATATTTAAACATAAGACAGAAATCTCTGTTCTATATTTAACCACTGAAACAACAAATGATAACGAAAAAATTATTACCGTTATTTCATAAAAGTGTTCAGTTTCCCCTTTTAAAGGGTCACAGTACGCTTGCAACAATTTTGGTATAATGATTCTTTTTGTGGGTTCTTTACATGGTCATTTAACTTGTAATTGATAATTTATCTTAACTGCTTAATTTTTTTTAAATTTTAAAAAAAAATTAAAAAATTCAAAATTTTTAAATCTCTAAGGCTTTTTTATTTTAACATATTTTCAAAAAATGTTTTTTTTAGTGATTACAATATTCGTCTTAACAATTTTCATTTGTTTCACTCATTTGTTGAAATAACGATTAGAATATTTTTTATAGATTATTTCGTAAAAAAGTAGCAAAAAAATGTTAAAAATTCCTGTTAGGTATATATAACATGCTGTAAAAATTGTATCATATCATAAGATGCTTATTTCATGCACAGTTTAAATAAGTGTATTATACTTAAGATAAAAAAAGTTTACTTCAAAACTTTATCTTAAATTTTAAAAAATTCCTTAGGGATTTAAGTAAGATTAAAACACAAAATTATCATCTACCAGAAAAAGCACTTTAAAGTCTGTCTGCGGAGCAAGTTTCTGTATTAGGGCAATCTAAAATCATTCATAACTTTTTTAAAAATGTAGATAGAGAGATGATTTTTTTTCAGTGCATTTGAAATAGTTTGAAGTTTTATTATAAGCAATAAAAATTTTTCGATGCTTTGGTCATTTTTTGGGTACTGTGACCCCTTAAAAAAATCAATGATTGATCACATGCAATATTATTTTTGATCTCTTCCTGGGATTCATGAACAATCAGCACTGCAGATAATTCACTCATGGATTATCAGGGCTCTATTGTAGTTGAAAAATGTTCCATAAGGGAAAATTTTTTGTTTTTACCTATAATTCCAACAATGAGTTGTCCTCTTTCTTCATCTAAACCAACCAACAATGAGTAATCCATCACTGATTGTTCCAAAAGAAATTGCGTGTCATTACTGATAGCCAATGTCAGGATTGTTTTGGAATGAGGTCTGATATAAAAGGGGTTATCACAGTTTACTAAAATAAAACAAAAATATTATTAGTATAACATTCTCACATTTTTCGGATTCTTACAAATTTGAATTTGAGATTCTTTGTCATACATAGAATACAGGGTTATTCATAATTCCCTGTAAACGCCATTTTTCTCTACTACAACTGGCTTCAGTGGTACATGTTACTGCCATCTACCGGCAACTGCTTAAATTAAAAATTGAATACTTTCAGAATGATTTCATATGTTCTTTTTTGCCATATTCGTCTTCGTTTTTTTACTATAATGCTTCGAAACCCAGGAGGGAATTATGAATAACCCAGTATAAACATCATTTTACACTTTTTACTGAATTTAACTGAAAGTAATTTCCAGTAGATTAAATTGTCACAACGAACCTCGCATGAGAATTCCCAGATAACCATGGATTTATTAAAAAATAAATGTTAACAAAATTATTTTAAAATCGTGAACCTTAGATAGTCTGTTCTGAAAATGGTGTTCATTTTCACATTTTTAACTATTACCTTCGTCTCATTAAAACAAAGCATGATACTACTTTTTGTTTGAAAATGGACTGTATCAGGTCATCTATGAATGTGATAACATATTCCAATCATGCATTTCAGAGTGGTATATTTGCTTCTTGTTTTCCCTTATCTATAGTATTTTTGTAAATAGATTGTTTTCAAACTGTCAGTTCAATTGAAATTGCAATTTCAATTACAGTAGTCCCAATATATTTAAATTCATCAACAGCTTCAAATTCATTATCATTCACAAAATATATAAATTAATTGAAGTTTTTATTTAATTGAAGTTAACCAAATTATAATTAATGATTTATTAAAATCCCCAAATGAACTAATTCAAAAAAAAAAAACTAATGCTAAAAAAGCAGAATATATTCTATACCTAATAAGTAAAAAAAATATTAAATACAAGGAAAACTTATCAATCAAATTTAATAAAAACAACACTTAGAAATTACCAAACAGAAACGACAGTTAAAAAAATAAATATCAAATCCCAGGACAAAGTAGGATATAAAAAAATCTTTATCATAAAATTCATGAATAAGAAGATCCAATTTATTAAGTACAAAATTTATTACAAACAGAAAAAAAACTCAAATGCAGTGGAATCAGAAATGCCTCATTTGTAAAAAGAGAAAGCTGCAATCTGCTTCATAAAATAATCGTCCGCTTTTAGTAATAAATAATTGCATGATTATGTTAAACAGCAACCTTCTGCTTTTATTTCTTTATAAAAGCAAAAGATGTTTAGGGAAAGCAGATGTGATTGGCAAAACTTGCAAATGATATCACACCTCTAAAGAATCAGAATTTAGTTAATTAAAAAATATAGTTTCTTTAATAGATATCAAATAAACATAACAGACGATAAAAAAACTTTGTTACTAATAATTAATGTATTATCCTAAATTATAAAACAGTAATTTTTCATAATAAATCAAGATAAGGGAAAACTGAAAAAGGGGTATTAAAAAAACCTACTCTCAGAGCAGAAGTTTCCAAGTTCCTTAACTTAAACATCCAATTTCTAACACTTTTTTTAAGTTTGAATGAGACAGTCTGTGGAAATAACAGGTATTGTTTAATATTCATATTTTTAAACCACCATTGCTAAACATATAAAAATTTTAATCCCTATTAATAAACTATATTTAAAATTATGTGTGTGCGTGTTATTTTATGTGTAAATATTTATTTTGAAATTTAAATGATGAAAAATACAGAAGAAAATGATGCTAAACAAATACAAAATGAAATAATGCTAATCTCATAGATAACATTGTAAAGAAAAGTAGCAAAATAATTACTTTTTAAAAGATTTTCATCTAAAAGGACAACATCCTCTTCTACACCACTTGTATTGACTAGCCTGTTGCGGATGCTTCCTTTCAAGTCATATTTCTTTGTAATGGTTCGCTGATAAAACAAATTTTCCATAACTAGAAGATCCATTTTTGTGGCTGAATTGGTTGTAGTATTTTTGAAACCTATCCTATAGATTCCAACAATTTTAGCCAGCAAAGTAGGTTTCTGAAAGAAAAGCTATGTCATAAAATGCAATCTTAGTATTAACAGACAGTAATTAATTTTTTCTAAGGCCAATGTATTTTTAGTAATTTTAGATTATTTTAATTTGGTTTTTAACTAATTTAGATCTTTAATAACCCACTTTTGGTGGTAGACTTCCTCCGGGTCATGAATTTCATGGACATTGTTTAGCCCTGCTAACTTTGGGGATAAGGAAGAAGAGAAGAAGAGATTTTTAAAAAAAAATTTTTATCAGTAAACTAAAAACTATTCTCTCTAATTATTGAATATTACAAAATGTTAAGCAAAATACTGATAAAACTATTAAGTTTTGAGCACAAATATTAAAAACAATTTGAAGTTATTTACCATTAATTCAAATGTTTTGAAACTTTTTTTTTTTTTTTTTTTTTAATAACGGCAGGCACTTGAACTCTCGTTCTTCGCCTCGGAAGATGCCGGAAGTGTTGCTCATTTAGCGTTACCCAGTGGGCACCTGTGAACCTAAGTCACGGAGGCGAGCAACATTACCCACGCCACACTGCCACAAACCCGTTCATAGGGTGGGCCACATTCACACATCACACACAACAGAGGACAGCACAGAGAGAAACATCCATGCCCAGAGCGGGATTCGAACCCGCAGCCATTGGCTCCGCAGTCAGGCACGCTAACCGCTCGGCCACCTGGCCGGCTATGTTTTGAAACTAAGCATTAATAAAAGAATGGAAAATCAGTAATTTGTGCATAAAAATTTATATTTAAAAACTCTTAAGTTCATTTCATAAATCACAGCTGACTTAGAATTTTATGATTAGAGATATAAAAATAAAATTCGTATTAAATATATTTATTGATAAATACTTTTAGATATGTCAAAATTGTTTGCAGTATTCAGTCTTAATATCAAATGGACTGAAATTAGTATTGCAACTGTGAGATTTTGTAGTATGATAAATAATATATAATTTGGTTATGATGTTTTAAACGTCCCTTATACAATTATTAAATAAAGATCTACTATACTTATTTATGTAAAACATTGAAAGAAACTACAATTGTTTTAATTTCTTAAGAAATTCATCAAATTTACTTTTCTTCGAATTTTTGCTTTCGAATTTGCACTTATTTAAAAATTATTCATTAAATGATGTGGAAATATAATTATCTAGACTAGATTGCCATTAAAACCTGCTCAAAATTTTAATTTAATATTTGATATTCCATGATTAAGAAGAGTTTCTTTCATTTCTTCCACTTGGGTTAAAAGAAACTTGTTTCTTCCTGGACGTTTTTTCCATGTTTTCCATCTTTAGTAGAAACCTAATTACTTACTTATTGAAATATATTAATTCAATTTAAAAACGTTTAAATGCATTGCAAAGCTAAAATTTTAAAAAAATCATTTACCTGAGAAAAACTTACTTCACATCAAAGGTTAAAATTCGATAGAGATATCACAATTCATTTAAGCTAAAACAAGCATACCTTAAAATAGGGAGAAAAATAAAGGATATGCAGAAATACTGGTGTTTAAAATTGAAAAAATATTAAATTTGGTGGATTATTTACAGAACTACTGGACAGATTTTTAATAAAATAAAGTATGATAGGTTATAAATAAAATAACAAATGCTCACACTTGAATGTACGTAACACTCATCCAAGTTAGTTACAAGGTATTAAATAGTAGTTATGAAATAGGAAAAAAAATGCGAATAAGGGAATAGTCCCTTCTTACACATATAGAGACTTTACATTGCAGTTAAATAGTAGAAATGATGCAATTTAGGATTCCCTGAGGCATATGGCTCTACTCGTTAAGCAACTTTGTTTTGAGGCCCTAGAATGTTGTCAGAATGATATTGCAAGCTCCAATAATTCTTCTCGAGCATGATCTTTTAAAGTTCATGCCTGGAGATATGGCTTGCCAATAGGTACAACAAATATCTTCCCTTTCCAGGAATTCATTGGCTGCATGAGATCTATGAGGATAAGTATTGTAATCATTCAAGTGAAATCAGGGCTAATTGCACTACTGAAAAGACAAACATAGGACTCCAGGACCCTATTCCCCTCACCAATCAAAATGTCTCTTTCAAAGACATGGAGTTCAACATAAAGTAGTCCCATACCCTCAAACCTTCTCTGCAGGAATGGCTAAAGACACTTTGAGTAAGGAGTGGGTTCCTGGTTTCATATGGACAGAACAATGAACTTGCAACATGCCTTCAAATGCCTGTGAACTCTACTTTATGGCCGCAGAGATTAGACGGTGTAGCCAGGCAACATATTGGATGATCACAGAGACTTGAAAGAGGAACCATGACTTATGAGAGGTATGGATCTTCGAGCCCTATCAAATAGTTGGTCCCGATTTTATTTAAATGGATGACAATGCCTGTCATAATAGACCTCATCAGGTTGGTGATTTTCTCAAAAGTATAGATATTTGCCAAAAGGATTACCTAGACATATGTTCAGACATGAATAGTGTGCTTCAATACCTGTGACAGCCATCCAGGACCTGAAAATAATGTAGCTGAACAAATAAGACCGATTGCCACAGGACCTCTTAGAATCAAAAAGGAAAAATACATTTTCAAAAGCCTTACAAACAGTTCCATGAACTAATATGTTCTAAAGAACTTGATTAAAGAAAAAAAAAACTGCAATTACAGAGACATTTTTTAATGATGCCAACGAATGACTTATAAGCCAATATTAAAGTAGCAACATGGAAATTATAGCTTTGACATTGTTTACAATTTTCGAAATTACACGGTCAATTTCATTTTTCATATTAATGATTTTTTTACTCATTATTAAATTTAAAAAAATCATCAGAAATCAAATTAAAAAAAAGAAAGATATTTCTGCGTACATATATTTATTAGCAAATGCTCACAAAACCCAAAATGAAAAAGGTAGTTAACTGAGAAACAGTGATGCTATGTTAAGTTCAAAAACATTTCGAAAACCAAACATATATGAATCTAAAAAATGCAATAAATTTGAGTTTCTTAAAAAAGAAAGTAAAAGTTAAGGTTTGGTATAAAATGAAAATTTCAAGCAATTTACCTGCTCTAAATAGGCTTTATTTAAGTACTGGAAATAAGATGGCGCCAAGTCCATAAATGATTGCAATTCTAATCTGGGCATTTGTTTCAGAATAAAACGATCATCTGTGGAAAAAAAATACATTCAGAAATTTACATTTACAATATACTTTTATCACTTTAATAAAATTTCAATGCTTCATGTTATTTAACTTTATGCTTCAATGTTATTTAACAATGCTCCATGTTAACTTACTTAAATACTGATTATTTTTATTTATACACAACTGCTGATTAATTTCACTACACCTTTTTTTTTTCTTTTCATGGAAAGCATGCAAAATATGCAATATTTAAGTTACTGTTAAAACTGCTTCCATTAATATCTGCATCAGATACATATTGGGCATAAATAAGGATAAAAATATTTTTCAACATACACATGTTAAAAAAATCCTTGTTAAAAAAAATTTATTTTTTTTTCAACACTTATTGTTACACATCTCCACACGGTTTTGTAAATCCCGATATTTTTAATATGTATTAATATAACAACGAATCACGCATTTAAATGCGTCCTTAATTTTTGCCACAAATAAAGGGTACATAAATCTATGAGGCATTGCAAATCTAAGAGTTTTCTTTTTAATCGTTTTTCAACAATTATTGTACGATTTTTACAGGATTTAAAAAATCTTGATATTTTTAATCTCGTATTATAAGGACTTAAGATTTTCGAATCAGGCATTGTAACCATATCATTTTTAATGATTTTTTTTAATTCACTAAATACAAATGTCCTAAAGCTAAAAATATGCTGATTTGAATCCCAACTGAATGTTGAATCTTATTCAATGCTGTAATGCAACAATTTAATTTTAAATCATACAATTTCTTTAATTGAAATATAATAATTCTGCTTCTGAATGTCTCAAACATAAAAAAATGTTTCTTTAACTCTTAGCTTATTTTGTTCAAAAATTATATTACTTAACTAATTTTAAAAATTATCAAAACAAGAATTTGGTGATACTCTAATTTATTTCAAGCAGTCTTAGAGACATCAAAACGTAACTTTAAATTTTCCCACATTGCTTTATTTTGCATTAATACTTTTACAGGAACGCAATAATAGGTGAATATTTAAAAACTACACATTTATGTTTATTAAAAGTAATCCAAATTTAAAATTAGCAATAAAACTCCAAATTAAAAAAAAAATAAGAGAAGATATGCAATACTTTTCCCTTTGGTTCTATGCCAGCTAATAGTGTTTACATAAAGAATAAAAAAATAAATTATTAAAGAGATATTTTCTAACAAAATCAAACTTGATTTGGTTTTTAAAAAAAACCATTCAATCAATTTCATACAATCCTGATCGAAATTCATGCATAGTAGTGTTTGTTGATGAAAAAATAAAAAGGTCTCCATTCAGTCTTTCTTTTAATTGAATTTAATACTGTTTACGCTTCAAAATGAAATTAAAATATACAAATGTAAAACATACCATGAGTTTTGCAAAACATTGATCCTGATTTTCCACCTCTAGCAATCCACTGCACACAATGAGATAATGAACGTATAAAACGCTCTTCACCTTCAGTAAAGATCAGGCTTCTGAGTTTCCTAAATTGTTCAGCATAATAAACCCTGCAGTAAAACTTAGTTGTATTATCAGAAAATTGGATCTCAAGGTGCAAAGTTGATGTTTTACCGGCAGTTTTCAAGTGTGTTTTGTCAGTTGAATCCAGAGAGAAATCTAAAATTGAAAGGAGTGTAATTTAGGAAACAAAACAAATATTGGCAAAAATTTTAAACAACATGAAAAATGAGATATTGTTTTATTTTTTCAATGGAATCAAAGTTATAGCTGAACCAATCTTACGGATGACTTTTAAAATATAGATAGAATACAACAATGATTATCCAACATCTTCAGGATCAGAGGTATGTTGGAAAAAGATGATAGGAGGCCGTTTTAAGTGTAAATGATTTTTAAGTGCATAAGCATTAAACTATGAGCTAAATTACTTAAAAGAAATAATAGCTTTAGTAACGTTTATAATTTTCAATGTTGAATATAATCATAGTGTATTTTGAAGAGAAAAAAAACAAAAACATTTATAAATTTTTTCTTGCAGCAAATTTTTTTACTTGTTGTCACAAAAGTAAGTGGGTAACACCATCTGTATTACATATGATGGTATTATTACTCATTAATAATGTTGAATATGAGTTAAAACACAAATCTATAGCGTGCTTCGGAAGCAGTGAGTGATCAATTATTAAAGTGTAATTTAATTCAGCGTTACACAATTGGAGTTATATACTTCATTCCATCTTGTCTTCTGTGAAAGGCACTCAGACCTGATCACAGCCATTGTCATGTGTGCCACTTATTTAACAGTGTTCAAAGCATAAGTAAAAATTGTCAATGACGATCTGACTTTACACGTCCCCTTTGCTTAGAATTATAAATAAAATGCATTTAATAGAGAAAAACTTCAGATGTATTTCATAAACAAAATGTATGCATTTTGTGATATTCATTTACAACCTAGTAATGTTAAATCTCGGAGCAACCCAAGAATTATTTGTCAGAACGTATTGTTACATTCGTTGCCTTCCCAAATATTGGCAAGTTAAGGTGGGAAAAAGTGAACTGTAAAGGGCGCAAAATAAAAAACGGACCATCCTGAATAACTTTTGATCAGATCTTCACGTTCTAGGACTCAATCCTAATGGTTCAAGGGGTTAAACTCAAATATGTTAACTAATTAGTACAGGCAATATTTTAAGTTACGAAATCTGACACAAAAATGCACCTTCTCTGAATAAACAAACCTTTTTTCAACTGATTTAGATTTTTGTCCTGTTTGACTAAAGTTTGGGCCCCTTAATTCCATCACGGTTTTCACAAATTAAATATAAAAGCTTGGTTTAAATTTTAAAAAAAAGATTAAATATTTATCTATAAAAAAGAAGTCTACCAAAGGTGTCCTCGCTGCTAAGCTGACCACCCTCAGATTTCAGAGAAACATCACTTTGCATCTTTGAAATTTGTCTATGTTTTAATAAAGGACTAGATGTCAAGCTATCTTTTTGTGATACATTCAAAGTATTTAAATTGAGTTTCAATTCTTGAAGTTTTTGATCATAATCATCAGTTGCTAAGGCATAAGCGATTACAGAACTAGGCTCTTCTTCATGGACAACAATAGGTAACTAAAAAGAAATAAACCACAATTTTATAAAAACAGAATATTTTGGGCATGCTTACTTAATGAATAATAATATACATAAAAGTGTAACATATTATAAAGATAAATAAAAGTGCAACATATTAGTAACCTTAAATAACAAATTAGAAAACTTATAACTAAATACTATTCAAGCTTACAATTATGATTAATTTTTTACCAACACTATACTGAATTAAATTACAGGGTAGATGAAAATTACTATTCAAACATAGTAAAATAATAAAATCTGTTTGAAAAAAAAAATTTCAATCAGTTTTTTTTCTTAATTGAACTGAATGATAAATTTAAGGATGCAAGAAAATAAGAAGAATAAACAATATGTTTTTAAAACTGATCAGAAGTAAATACAGTGACAAAATAAAATATACAGTAAGTGTAAATTTCATATGAATCGAAATATTTTTGCATGCAATTATAAAATTTGTTCAAAAGATCCTAGGTAATTTTTTTTTTTTAAATTTTATCATTTTAGGAAATAAGAAGAAAAAACAATATGTTTTTAAAACTGATCAGAAGTAAATACAGTGGCAAAATAAAATATACAGTAAGTGTAAATTTCATATGAATCAAAATATTTTTGCATACAATTAAAAAATTTGTTCAAAAGATCCTAGGTAATTTTAAAATTTTAACATCATTTTAAACTATTAAATTTCAACTGACAAATTATAAAATTATTTAAATATTTTCAGAATAATGAAATTTAAAAAAAATAGCCAAAATTTTAAACTTTTATTTCACAAGAACTATTCAAACAATTTTGTATTTCGTCATTTATATCTAGTTTAAAATGGAGTAAAAATTTATGTATCTTACAATTCAATAAGTTTTCCATAAAATAATAGGAATAATTGATAAAATTTACTTTTCGCATGGAATTATCTTTGGAAAAACAAATTTTATAATTGTGTGCAAAACTTATTCAATTCACTTAAAAACTTTTTAAGATACAGTGAAATTAAAAAAGAAAAAGTGAAATTAACATCAAGAGACCTAAGTTTTTGATTGCTCTCGTGACTAAATTATTGGAACTATGTTTTGAAGAGTGCATCTACCCTCCATATTTTGTCCATATCCATTGAAAATAAGGGCATATTTATTCAGAGAAAGTATGTTTCTGCGTCTGTTTCAGTAACTTAATTGCAAGCCAGCACTAATTACCATATTGAACGTACAACTATTAAGTTTGGCACTTAGAACATGAAAATATAATTATTAGGACAAAAGTTATTCAGATTGTTCAATTTTATTTTATGCACTGTATGTACTATCTTCATAAAATATATAAAGAGTGGATAATGGTGAATGCTATAAAACTGTGTAAAGGCACCAGGGTGGCCACTCAAATCAGGTTTCAAATTTCCCTGATTTTTCCAGGTAAAAATCCTAAAATTTGCAGGTCAATGTGCTTTTTTCCTCATAAAGTGTAGGATGGGTACAAGAAAAAACATGTCAATATTATAAAGTATTTTATTTAAAATATTTTTTTAATGCTATTTCATCATCTTTGACTCAGGGGATAGAGAGCTAGCCAGGTCCTCTATTCTTTAAGAAACCATTGGAGTTTCATGTGGCATTTTAGTTTAACAGAGTTATAATGGACCAAATTTTGATGCAAGCGAAGTATTGCTAAGTTGATGGTATTTCAACTGTTTGGCAATAAATTTCTGTCTAAAAGTGGGTATAACAGATAGTAAAATAATTTTAATTAAGGAAATTAGTAAATAATTTAAATTAGTAAAATTAAGAAAAATCAAAGGAAAAATTCCAGCTTCTCTTTAAAAATCCCTGATTTTTCTAGGTTTTTTCCAGTATAAAAAAATTCCCTGATAATTCAAGGTTTTCCAGGTGGGTGGCCACCCTGTATAACGTACAAATAAAAACATATTTAACAAACATAAAAAAAATTTTTTTAAATACCTTAGGCGTAGGTAACAGCAAATGTTCCAATGGAGAGAAAGGGCTTTCAATCGGAGTGAATGAAGAACTATTCAAAAACTGAGATAACATAGTTTTAACACTTCTTTCTCGTTTTTCAGGTTTAGCTCCATCAACAGAAACTGGAAAAAAAATAATTGATAGGCTAGAGCTTTACAAACAACTGTTAAAAAAAGAAAGATAAATAATTAGTATACAATACAGTTAAAAAAGAATAACCATATACTTTGTTTTTCTGGAGTAAACTTCAAGCTTTGATTGCTCTGTGGAGTTGTGCTGTCAACATCTGATTTAGATCGAACATGATGCCTAGGTGTTACAGGTAAAGGCGATTCCTCTTCAAATTTTTCTTAAAAAAGTAAGAACAGTAAATACAGAAAGAGGATCGAGGTACAACTACCAGTTAAATAAGAAATATCATCTTAATTTATATTATGTAACTACTAAATAATAAAATTTTTTATTTTAAAGCGATTAAAGGAGTTTATTTTAAATTACCCTAAACCAGGGGTGTCAAACTCAAAAGCTAACTTGGGCCAAATAAACAATGCTTAACTTTAGATGGGCCGCAAAAAAAAAGAAAAATCAATGTTCATAGCAACAGATATTTTTATTTCGAATAGTACATTGTAATAAACATAAAGTTAAATTATTCTTTGATACTTGACATCTCTTCTCTGCTACCATCTTTCCTATTTCGGGAGAAATTTTATTGGCCGAGACTACTTTCAAAATTTACCCAACGTGAGCGTTATTAATACGGTTTCGGACAGGAGATTTATTTCCATTCATAACAGAAAATAAATGCTCTCACTGATAAGTACTTCCAAACATGGAAATAATTTATTATGCCAATTTTCGAGTATTTTCAAACATTGCCGGTAAATATTTGTTAAATTCAGGCACACCCACTTCAATGAATTTTGCGTTCAAATTTGAGTCGCACTGAATCTCAATCACTTCCATTTGCATATTACTAGGAACTGAGTCTATATTTATTGAGAAAATCGAAGAAAACAAACAAAATTTGTCTTCCAAAGAATTAAAATCTTTAAACCTTGTTTCAAATTCTGTTCTAAGATTTGAAATTTTTTCTGCGTATTTTTGATATGATGCAGCATCCCTGGAATGACAGGTGACGCAAGCCAATTAGAATCTTACATTTTCGCATGCACAATTTAAAATTATCCGTATAGTTTATAAATAAAGTATATTATAATTTTATATGCTAGTTTGCTTTCTAATTCACATTTCTACTTTACTTTTACTTTAAGTCGGATATATTCACTGGGCCGGAAAAATTTTCATCTCGGGCCGCGAGTTTGACACCCCTGCCTTAAACTATTGTCACAAAATTGTAGAAAATGTTTTGTCTAGAATTACATTATACTTTTATTGCAAGTATATATTTTTTAGATCATAAGAAGTTGATAAGCAATGCATATTTTCTTATTACCAATTCAATATTCGAGGAAACTTATTTATTTCACAATTGCATTTAAATTTCAGACTTAAATACGAAGTCAAATTTTTCGAATTAAGATTATATAGAAATGATTTTCTAATTATCAACAAAATATCAGTTAAAAGTATTTTTCTACAAAAGCTTTAGTTTCAGCTTAAAATAAAATTTATTGAATTTTCATGTATATTTTTACATGTTTAATTTAATATTACCCATTAAAGTAAGTGATCACTGAAAATTTAAATCTTCTAACAATATTAAATGATTTATTTTTTTTTACTAGCTAACAAAAATTATTTGACATTGTCAACGTTCAAGTCTATATCATTAGAATTACAAATTTGCTTAGAAGAAGTTGGATTTCCTGTGTGAATACTTTAAGACAAATTTAACCTCGTATCAGTCACATTGAGGTGTTTCTCGTAGAATTGTTAAAGTAGAACCAATACTTGAAGAAATCGCTAGGCTCATCGAATTGTGGAAAATGTTTTGATTCAGAAGTCTCAATGGTATTTATTGTGCTAGTTTAAAGTCAAATATATCCAAAGCTTTATCGATGATAAAAAAATTAAAAAAAATTTAAAGCAAAATGTACTTTGATCCTTCAATTAAATGCATACAAATGGAAACTAAAAAGCAAAATGGGTGCAAATACAGGATTTACATGCATTCTCAGGTTACTGTTACCAAATAAATCCAAGCTTCAAAATTTTATCAAATGTTCGGATTCAGACAAATTTTAACATGAATACAAGAAGAATTTCTGAAAATTATAATTATGATAATTTAGAATGTAGAGGCCCTTTAAGAAATATTAACTGATTACATCCAGAAGACATCCCAATTTGTTCAAATCTATATAGTTCTCTTGCTAAAAATTTTGATAAAGACTTATTTTAATGAAATCCTTTTTTTTTAATTAGTTCAGAGCACAATCATCTAATTTTAGCTAGCTGTACTCTAAAAAATTATAGAAAAATAACATTTCTTTAATTACAAGTGCACAACTTTGTTCAAGTTCAATTTTATTCTCAAAACTATAATTCTATGATAAAGCGTAGTTAAAAAATAATTTATGATTTTATTTAAAAAATTTATGTTATGTATTTATGTTATTTAAAAAATTTATGATAATACATAATTTAAAGTGTAGTTAATTAAAATTTCCATTGGCTTCAAAAATTTTTAAAATGGAATTAAAATTCGACATGTTTCAAGCATTAAAAAATAGGCATCCATTTGCTAGATTTGCCAGACATCATCTTCAGTTTCTCAGNTAATTTATAAAATGCTATTTAAAAAATCTATGATAATACGTAATTTAAAGTGTAGTTAATTAAAATTTCCATTGGCTTCAAAAATTTTTAAAATGGAATTAAAATTTGACATGTTTCAAGCATTAAAAAATAGGCATCCATTTGCTACATTTGCCAGACATCATCTTCAGTTCCTCAGGATTATTTATTTGGCAATTTAAAACGGTATAAATTTGCATACCTTTTAAAACCACATAAGTATCATAATCCTCTAAAGAAGCATTCAATCCAGCTGATATGCCAGGAGTCCCATGATAAACAAAACTTGTGTCATAACTTGAGAGTTTCCTTTCTCCTAAAATAAGTAATTAAATTCACTTTCTTTCTAAAGATTCATTAGCTTAAAAAAGAAACTTATACTCACTTTCAAAAAGCGTATTGTTAAAACGTTTACAATGAAAAACAAGCAAATCAGGTTCACTGTCAGCTCGATCTTTCTTTAGCTTTGACATATTAACTGTTTGCATTTCATACTCTGTTAAATCAACCCAGGAATATGAACGAGAGCTGGAAGATAGTTTTTTTAATACACCTTTTCCAAACATCTCCGCATATTTTTTAGTCTTTTCTGATTCAAATTTTGAAAATGATGCTAAAACACTATTTATCTTTCCCAAATCCGTCTCTCGGCCACTATTTACACTTAGCACTGTAGAGTTAAAAACATCTTCATCAGCAGAATAGTCAGAGCTTTTAATAACTGATCCATCCTGCAAAGTAATTAGGAAACTTCAATTTGCAGTAATACTTAAGATATAAAAATAGCTACTTTAAGGAAAATAAAATTAAGTAGAGGTTTCTTGAAAATAATGTGGAAATATTTTGCTATATATTACATAAACAAAAATTAATACTGCTAAGCAAGAAATTATAATATATTATCTAAAACTATTAACAGTTCAATGCAAAATAAAAATTTAAGTACAAACATCAAACAAAATTACTTTAAAGACTAGCCTTTTATATTAGATTTTTTAATTAGTTTTACATGATTGTCTTTCTCAATCAATTTATTACAATTGATTTACTTTATTTTTTCATTTTTCATTATTATTACTTTTCACCTCATTACACATATACATTTTCACAGTCTATTCAAACAGAAATAAAATGTAATAAAAATTTAACCAAAATTAAAAACACAAAATTCTGTAAATATTAGGCATGTATTGTCGAAACATTAAAAATGATAACTCTCTGAACTTCAGCTCCTGCTTTTTACCAACTCAAAGATGCAAGCTTTAGTTCAATGGTATTACAATTAGGTCAAGCATTTAATATTTGCCTGAAAATAGGCGATTTGAGGAAATTCTAAATTTATGAGTTATTTTCATTCTGCTTGCCTAATTATATATGCACAAATCTAAGAAAATTCAATAATAAAAACTAAAGAAAGTAACATTAGAGCTGGAACAAGTAAATAGTACACAAGCATAGTACAAATTAGTTCAGAATTAGATTAACTAGGAAAAATTTTTATACACAAAATAAATAGATAGAGAAATGAATTTGTTCTTTTATAATTTTTAACACTTAGATATTTATACAGAAATAGAGTAAAAGCTTAAAATTATTACAAGAAAATCAATATTATTATTATCTTCTGTAAACAATAAATTGTGCATTAAGATTTATAAAAAAAAGCAAGTGATAACTATGAATAAATTAAATATTTAAAAAACTAGTTTATTAGAACAATGCAATAAAAATACTTAAAGGTTACAAGCAAAAGCATTATATATATATATANATACTAATTCTCATATTCCATAAAAAGCCTGACCAATTCTCTAATTTCATTATTTCATATGGGTATCTTTCGCAAGTTTAGCGATGTGATTAAAAACAGAATGACGCAAAAGAAAAGAAAAATTAATATCTTCCGTAAATGTAACAAAATGTAACATTTTATAATAAGAAAAGCAGCTAAAGCTTTAAATTTTAATTTCATTTGATTAGTAAATACAGAAATAGAAAATCTTAAATAAATAAAGTATATATATATATATATATATATATATATTAGTTGAATTTTCAAAAAATTAAGGTATTCGATTATTCTCAATCAAAATATATTTATTTCATAAAAAGTTGATGATTTATAAAATTGCTTGACTATCCAAGAAATATTTCAGACTTACTAACTAGGCAAAAGTTTTTTATCAATAATTTAAAAATACATTATTTGTTCTAATTTAAAATTATTTAAAATAATTTAAGAACCAACATAAAAAACATAGCATATTGGAGGAAACCTGTTAAGCAAAGTTTAACAGGTTTCCTACAATATAAAGACAATGACTGTTACGTAAATACATACATTGCGAAATATGAATGTGATATAATGTTTTTTATATTCAAAGGCAAAAAATAGCTGTAGCTTTTTACTTGACACTTTTAAAGAATTGAGAAGGCAAATACTTCAAAATATATTTTAAAACAGAGAGAAACAAATTCCGAAAAAAAATTTCTGTAATTCATTAATTGATTGATTAATTAAAACTAAATAACTCACAAGAACAAATTTGATAATAAATCTTACTTCAGAAATTTTACTAGACTGTTGAGTAAGCTTTGCTTGCAATTTTTGTTCTTTTTTCCTTGCAGATATGAATTCTTGTATCCTAAAATTGCAAAATTATTAAGCTAAAGTGCTTTTCAAAAACTATAAACTAAAAAATAAACAGGATATTAACCATAAAGAAACATCTAATTAACACTTAATATGTTTGTTTTTTTTTTAAAAATTGTCACAAGAATTTTAATTTTAGAACAAACTACTTACAAAAATCAAGATTGAAAATTTAAAACAGCAACAGTATTTTTAGCTGGTAGTAGATATATATAATAATGAAGGGGAAAAAAACATAATTTCATGCAGAGCACTATAGAACTAAATGGAAACAATTATATAATTTTATTTTTTAACAGAAAATGTTATTTCGAAGGGGGGGGGAATAGTCTAAGCAAGAAATTTTGGAAAATAAAAGTTTTTGAAACGATTCATAAATTAACATTTCTTAATACACATAAAAAGTCAAAAACGCAGTCAAGTCAATTTATAGTTTCATAGTCAATTATTACATTTAAATAATAAATTTTTGAACAAGTAAATTTAAGTACTTTTCTTTTTTTTGGGGGGGGGGAATCTATAATAAAAATTAATTTTTTTCAGAAAATAAGTAAACCAGTTAATGAAATTAAAATAAGAAAAAAATTAGAGCACATTATATTTAACACACTTTGATAGACAACTAAACAATGTCAGACTTTTAATAAAATTTGGAAATTTTGAAGAAAAAAAAATGAGAGCTGAGAAATATTGATTAGTTTTAGCTTTTACTTTAATTAATTTTATTGTAAAATTTATCATATTTTAAATAACATGAAATATATAAATATAAAAATACAGAAAAAAAATTATTAGCAATTTTTTATTATTAGATGTAGAACAAGCTAGTTTGGAAAATACAAAACATTTCACTTAACTAAAACTTGCAGTTCTTTTGATGCAATATACATTAGCATTGTTAATTGCTTCGACGATAATAAAATATGAAAAAATATTGTTTTGAAACTTCAAAAAAAAAAAAAATACTATACCGGCAGCTCATTCTTCATTTCCACAAATCAGCTAAGCTATCTTCTCAACTTACTTGCATCTTATAAAACATGAACTTATATCTTATAATAAATTTAAAATTAAAGAAATCAAAATTTAATTTGTAACAAAATTACCTGTTGTTCCATGTTTGTACTACATTTGCGATATGACATTTTAATAATATAAGTTGATCTTCAATATTCCACATCCATTGGCATACTTCTGAATTACAAAAAGGAAAAGAAAGAGAAAAAAGGTATCAGTGACATTAAGTATGTCACAATAATATTTAGGTATCAGTAAAAGATTAGGTTGTTAAGTACTTATCCTGATTTACACACACGTAATTTATCTAATATATTAATATATCACACATAAACCAATATTAGCAAGTATTTTTTTTATCTGTTATTTAGTAGTCTTACAAATACTTGATCACAAGTGATGGTAGATTATTTTGTAATCCAATTGAATATTTATCTTTTTCAGTCATTCATTTAAAAAAACAACCAATCTTAAGTAATAGTTTTTAATAGGTAGAAATCTCTTTTCTTCACGAGAAGCACTATTTTCATTATTATTTATTGTACATTATTAAAATATATATTTACTAATATAACTACAAATGATGTTAGGTGTTTTGGCATCCAATTGCATATGGATTTTCTTTAACCTTTAATTTCTTTAAAAAAAAAATTAAAAAAAACATGATTTTGTAAAGTGTTTTAATAGGTAAAAAACGCTTTTGTATATGCTATTTCTCTATGTAGCTACAAGTAAACTCATATTTTCTTTCTTTCTGAAATTCAGCAATAGTTATAAATTTTTATTTCAATTTTTTAAATAAGCAAATAAATAAATAAATTTTAAAAAAATTAAAAATTGCGCTAATTAATAAAATTCTGACAAGTTTGGTCATATTGGTTAGCGGATTGTACAAATGTATCATTTCAATTTTTCACAAAATATTTTTAACAGTCCTGAATAATAAAGAAATATTCATAAATTCTATGAAACTTTGATTAACAGTTTATTTTATAAGGTGCTGCTGCTAAAGTTTTGCAGGCTTTTAGTAGAAGTAGAATGTATTAAAGAATAACCACAGAGTTTGGTAATAAATGCAATGAACATTCTCACATAACAAGGTAACAAAGAACAATTTAATGGGAGTTTTAACAGCATTGGATTATGTGATTTTTATTTTTGCTAAAAAATCTAAATTTTAACAGAAATTTGCAAAACAGTTCCGGGTATAAACTTAGTTAAAATTAACAGGGTTTCCTGAAATCCTATTTTATGTAAGAAATAACTTCAAATTTTTATGTTTAATTTTTCTTTTTTTTTTTTTTTTAAGAATTGTTCAAGAAATATTTTAGAAATTATATAAAATCGGCATGAAAAAAATATATAAAAACTGAGGCGAAACCACTTGGGGTAAGAGTAAATGCATTAATCCAATTTATTTTAATTAACCTAGTCATCTGAAATCTAATTAAAGTGTAGCCTTCTCCTCTAGAACTACTTTTTTTTAATTGGGAAGCCATGATTAAATAAATACATAAGCTACAAATGCATTGCCTTATAATACAATGTTGTGTAATACAATAATATACGTTGAAAAACAAAGCATTATGCAGAAAAAGAAACTCGTGAGTACCAACATACTAATATAACGCAATCATACTAGAACCGAATACAGTAAGATCTGTGCACAAACCTTTTCGAGATTCAATGTCTTCATTAGATTTCAACTGCATACTTTCAATAGTGGGTGAAGTAAGACGCAATTGGATATCTTCAATTTTTTCTCGAAAGGGAAGAGATTCTAGCTATTTAACAACAACAACAACATAAAATAGGTGAGCTTTAAAAATATACTTTGATTAATGATATATTTTTAAACAAATTTATAATTGAAGAAAAATAAAATTTACGACTAATCATTTAAAATTTATTAATTAAATTTAAATAATAATCAACTCCGATTGAATCTATACATTTTTGTAAAGAGAAAAAACTATTATAGTATATTATGATTAAATGTGTCTTTTATAACATATTTCCAAATACTCATAGCTATTTAAAATCATAGAATTAAAAATAATAATAGCCATTTAAAATCAATATAATTAGTAGTACAGCAGATTATATGGTGAATAAATAGAGAAACTCCCCTTACTTCAGTAGAGGAATTAAATAAATTTTTAAGAAATGGAGTAAGTATGACAAACGCATTTTACCAATTAAACTAGGGTTTAAATTGACATTTTTAATTGAAGCATAAACTAAACTTTAAAAGACATAAACTTTAAGTATTTTAGCTATTTTTTCCAAACCATAATACGATAGTAATATCCTAATACCAATTTTCTTTGTATTATTAATATCCTCTAATTTTAACACTTTTAATGACACTTTGAAGATAGTTATTTAGGAAATTTTGTTAAGATCAATATATATTATTTTTAATGTAGTTTTAGAATTATATGTAACAAAGATTGGTTTAAAAAAAAACTCTATGTCTATATTTTGCTAAACATAATTTTTATTATTTAAGGTTTCTAAAATCAAAATTTCGTTTCTCATAAACTTTAGAGATGAAAAACAGAAAACAGTTTTAGTTTTGCAAATTTTAAAAAACAGCAATATTTTGCTTCAGTAAATAGGTATACCTTTAGAATGTTTATCAAATCATCTACAAAATCTTCAGAAGTAGTGTCATTATACTCAGTCAGCAGTGCATGCAAAAGAGTGTGAAGATCACTGTTAATACCATGTCCCCTAAAAAAATAACATTTTTAAATTGCAATCAATAAACATTAATGAAATTAATCAGCATATTGATAACAAAAAAAATTGCAACACAGCAATATTTATAATAGCAATTATAGGATCATTGTAGATAGCTTTTAAGTAATTAGAATTTTACAACGATGGGCATGGTTGAAAGAAAGTTTTTTTTTTTAATCTATGCAATTGTGAAACAATTTAAATAAAAACAACATTATACGCCATGAAAATTTTTATTTTATTTTATTCAGCACAGTAAAAATCTCTGAAACTAATTTTTTTTTATGAAGAACTAAAATGAGAATTAAGTATGACATATAAAAACAATATTTAAAGTTTGATAAAATTAATAAATACAATCGAATTCCTTAATAGTGACCAGGATTTAATTAANCTTTAGGAAATGAACTAAAACTGGTATTAAATAAATTAAATTTAACCCTTTCAATAATTTTAGCTTTCCACTCAGAAAAACCTTCAACAGGCCAATGATATTTTCTGGAAATTTTTGCAATAAAAAAATCGGCTTCGGTGGTCGTATTTTTGTTTTATTTCATTTGTTTCGTATAGAAATGGTTTTGTTTTTAATGGCTACCGGGGCCGGTACCCCCTGAAGACGTCGGCTTCGGTGGTCGTATTTTTGTTTTATTTCATTTGTTTCGTATTGATACTTTTTTCTGAAATTTCTGCTGCTTTTTAGCGCGTTTTTTTCAAAGAAGTTTTTTCCTTTTGATCTTAATTATTTGTGTTTTCTTTCAGTATCATTACATAAATACATTTTAAATTTTTTTACAAAAAAGCTTGAATATAATGAGAAAAGAGACAATTGAAAAGCCTACAATAAAAAAAAACTATTTTACTTGATTTTTAACAAGCAAATATGATGGTTTGCTCAACATCATACATTTTTATCAAAACATTTTGTGTCACATTATTTTAATTCACATTATCAATCGTGCAGTTCTTAAAATAATAGTAGAAACATACTGACACTATTCATAAATGTTACCATTTTGGAAACATTAGAAAAATTTTGTGTTAGAATATATTTTTTTAACGCAGAATTCTTCGGGGGAAAAAAATAACATTATTTTTCTTAATTTGTTTAAAACTCTTATTTTACAGTAAAATGAGGTCATTAAAAGAAAAAAGCTATGAACTTAGTTTCTTTAGGTAGCTCGCATTAGACATTTCTTTAATGTTGTGTGAGAATTGAGAGTAAACAACAAAAAACTGGAGAAAAGAAAGTCAGAATGTGATGGATTTGGCAAAAAGATGCTGAAAAATTTTTGCCAATATGTAACATAAATTGTACCATAATATGATAATCTTTCATAATTAAAATACTTTTTTTAATTTAAAACTTAAAAGCTAATGTATAACATATTCATGATTATCATATTAAATATGTCTGTATCGAAATTTATTTATTATTTAGACATATGAAGCAATAAAAAAACAATATAAATTACTAAAATATTGTGGTAATAACAATTTGTCAGCAAATTTTTAGACACTGCTAAGCTCACACACAAATTTTAATCTTGGTACAATAGTTTTAATTAAAGGAAAACAAATATTTTTCATCATAAAAAATTGCTAAACTCAAATAAAAGTAAAAAAAATAACATGCCTGGATGTTACAACATTAATTCCATCTAAGAATCTGAAATTCTTAACTTCCATACATAATATTTATTAAAATTATTTATAAATATTTAAATTAATATTTGAAATTACTAATAAATACTAATTATTATTAATAAAAATTATTATTTAACGACATCATAGATTTAATGCATAATATGGAGAACAGAAAAATACTTGATATGGCTATGAATAGGAAACATACTTAATAGATATTATTTTCAGTTGTTCTACAAGGTGATTCAATGGAATAGCTTTGTCGTTTACATTAATTACAAAAGCTGGAAAAATAATCTCCCAAATAAGAACGGGGGTGTACCTGGAACAAATATATAAAATAATAATAAAATTATGTAAAACAATATGGTTTATACCCTATCAATAACTAAATTAATTGAAGCAATAAAGAAAAAAGAAAAACAATGGAAATAAAATATGGCCACCGAAGCCGACGTCTTCAGGGGCTGCCAGCTCCAGAAGCCATAGAACTAATTAATTTTTATACTTAAAAATGAAAAAATAAGAGACAGAGATGTGTAATCAGAATTTAAATATTTATTTTGTTAAAATTATTTAAGATAATGAGTATATACTTTTTTTCTGACAACAAATGGTAACTTTCTGATAGGTTGAAAAAATCTAAATTTATTTTAATTTTTATCATTAATAATATTTTTACTTCAGAAAGAAAAGTGGGAATGACACATATAAGAACAAGCTTTAATAATGTCAAATGTTTAATTTTGAATTGTGCTATTTAAACAACAATATTGCAATTTTTTAAGACTATTGTAGAAATAAATATTTTGTTCTTAATTTATTAAACAGGCAAAAAAAATTTTCTTAAGTAGGTACAAAAATAAAATAAATAAATAGCTCTAACTTTTTAGAGAACATGTGTTAATGAAGTTCAATTTAAAAACTTTGACTATTTATTTAAAAGATTAAACAATCAGGAATTAGAAATATCTTTCTAAATTTATATAATTGGCTACTTTTTAAACTCAATAGTCCTAAGAACAAAAGCGGTTTTAATAAACAATGGTCACCGTATTCCTTAAAAGACAACACTGTATTCTTTAACACTTAAAAAATGTTAGTGTTTTGATATAAAAATTTTACAAATCAAATTTGAATCTTTTTATAACATAAAAATCTATAGTAGCACTGTACATGTTCAATAAATAATTAATGCATCAAAAATGAATAATTTAAGTTTAAAAATTAAACAAAATTATTCACAATATTGTCTTAAAGATTTCTCATTCGAAAAATATCTAAAGTTTAAAAAATAAACAACTGAATATTGCTAAGAGAATAGATATAAGATAAAATAATTATTAAAAAATGGGAAAAACGTACTTAAATATGGCAACCAATTGATTTTGGGCAAAATACTGATAATGATCATGTTGCAAAGAATGAGAACAAGATTCACTCAACCCTCTTCTTTGATAATCTTCTGCATAAAACTTCAGTTCTAAGTATTTAGCAAAAGAGAATGACCATGTATCTTGGGACATAGATACAACTGGTGTTGCCTGAATAACAAATAAAAATTATTCATTTCAATACAACTCGTTGCTAACTAATGATACCTTAATGATTTTAAGTTTTTAAAAAAAATATTCTAAATTTAAGTTATTTTCTTATTATAAAGAGTCGATAATTACTGTTTTGCAGATTTGGCACCAGCTCCACATAAAAATGTTATTTTCAGTGGACATTGAATGAACCCCAGCATCTAAGGCATGTAATAGGATATGAACACAGCCTGAGCCATGCACAAATTTGCGTACATGCTCTGTCATTGGTGTAACACAAGTTGGGCTGGGGCAGATATAGGATGACCTGAAATTAATAAGTTACTTATTTATTTTAAATAATTTTTTCCAAGTTCAGAACTAATGACATGGTTATCAACATTAGCAAAGACTATCACATTCGTAGATTTTTAATAATTTACATTTTCAAGATTATTTACTATTATATTAGTGTGCCTAAATAATGTGTGAAATGTAGATTAACATGTTAAGATATCGATTCTTCTAGAAAAATACATAACAGGTCATTAAATTAACCATAGTTTAGAATGAAAGACAGTTGCAATCAATAGAATTATTAATATCAAAAAGTAAGTGATATAATTTTTTGCTTGTTTTGAACACAACATGGTCAACTTTCATGCAAAATTATGCATACATTGTACAAGTGTGCACTCACAAAGCATTTAAGCAATTAAGTGAGAAGTTTTTGCATTTTTCCACTCCAAGCAGGGTTGGCAAAAATCACAATATATTTCTTTTTAATAAAATAAAATAAAAATTTAAAACAAAACGATTTGATTTAAATAAGATTATCAACCAATTAATCATTAATAGCTAATCAATAAATAAATAATATCATAGTTATGCTTTTCAAGCTAAACTTGCTACTAATAAATGTCAATTAGATACCTAATGAAGAGTAAATTAGTTTAGATCAGAAAACATAACTAGAAAAAAATCATTTTAAGTAACTCTTGTCGATATCACATACTACATATTTATTAAGTTTTCAAAGCACTGAACTTAATTATGCAGAAAACTAAATGTGTGTAATTAAAAATATTTTTTGCACATATATCCCTTTTACACTTTACATGCAATTTAATATCCCTTTTTAATATCACCGTTATAATTTAATATCCCTTTTATTATCTCTCTCTCTCTCTCTCTCTCTCTTAGAGTAAGAAATCTCCATTAAGACTTCATAAAAAAAATCACGCATCAAATAATGTATTTTTAAAAAAATCAGTTAATTTAAATAATTGGAAAATTTTTCTTTTATTTAAATTCATGTTTTTTTAACAAATTAATGAATACGCATGTAATATGCATGTAAAAATAAACTTAAAATCACACTCTAAAGAATGTATTAATTATATACTACAAAAAATATTTTATACTTAATTATTTAAAAAAATCAGTTTGTTTAAATTAATGGCAATTAAAAAAAAATCACAAGTGATTCAAATCATGCCAACCCTGAGCCCAAGTAACACAAATGTTTCATAAAAAAATCTTCCACAAAAGCAAGTTTGTCCAAGTGCTTGATCAAGGAGTTACTTAGTCTTTTGGCTTGAGATCAAAATTGCAAGACAAAATAGTTAAATATTGATAGCAACAAATTTAATATTGGTCAGCTGGTCAATGTCAGGAATAAAATGAAACTAGTGTATATTATATGAAGGTAATTATTTATGCTCATTATCAAATATATTATTATTAATAAGCTGAGAACAAAAAATTTATTCTTTATAAAATCAAATTTTAAATTATACATATTAAAGATTTATTAAAAGGTATTATTATGTTTTTATATGTTAAAAGATTTTGATTTAATAAAAAGTATTGATATTTCTTAATTTTTTTATAATTAATAAAGTTTAATACAAAAAAATAGAATGAAATATTCTGAAAACTGAATTCAGATTTGAAAAGCTAACAGTGAATAATTCATTTATTTGTAATTAAATTTACTTTACTTTTTCTCAGAGTAAAAATTTTTTTACAAGTCATTGTTTGTATTTATTAGACACCTTTGATTGAAATCTACTACTCAGCAGTATCATTTTTACAGTATTTTTGCATATTTTCTTTAAGTATAAAAGAATTAATATTTGATTAAAAAAAATTCATTTACATTCAATAAACTTTAAAATTATCAGTTATTTTGAAGAGACTGATTCTTCATTGAGTGAAAATGTTAAAAAAATCATATATTACGGGATGATAATAAATTTGTCTTGTATTAATATATATTATAAATAAAATACTGAGTACAGAAATTAAAATATTTTCTTTGAGCAGTAGCAATACTTTTCATGAAAGTTTATAAACTTTTTAAGATTTAATTTGCAAAATAAATAAATAAATAAAATAGCAATTTGAAAATTATTTAATGATACAAGATAGTAAAAAAAAATATCACGCCTATTTGTATAAGATATGTTATAAAAATTTTACTTAAACTAAAACCCGGTGTTTTGGTAGCAACTTTACATAAAATATTAAAAAATAACATAATATTTCGAAATATTTATGGTAAAAACAGGGTAAGTAAATTGACAGTTAATAAGCCTTTACCTGAAACAATATCGATCAAGAAATCCACCAAGTGTAATATCATTTGCTCCATAAAATTCCATTTTCACAACCCTAAGAACATGTATCACATTAAACGAAAATCAAATTATTTGAACTTTTTAGACAGCTCTTCAGAAATGAATGAAAGTAAACTATAACAAATGTCTTAATATATTAGCCATCAAATTTTACTAAACTAGTCAAAATGCCTACATAGACTATTTCATAAAATGGCTAAGCAAATTTGCTTTGATTAAAGAACCATACGCAGTCGATTTAGAAAATATTTTTATATACAAATTATTTCTTTTTTCTTCAACATATTAATAGTTCATGATTTGCAAGATATTCAGTTGGCTGAATAATTTCTTTTTCCTCAATTTACTTAAAATTTGCAATAAATGCAAAAATAAAAATGTTTAACAACATAGTATTTTCTACTATGGAATATTATAAAGCATATTGAATAAATAATATTTCTTCAGTATTTACTCTAGATAATTGAAATTAAATGAGTATCATAATGTAACTAAGGATATAATAGATCATAAATTAGTCCATCTTGAAAACTCCTTTATTTATTTTTAAAAAAATACTTTATGTTTTAAAGTCAATCAGATGAACATAGTTATTTAGGATAAATAAAAAAATAATAATTCAATGAGAGAAAAATTAAAGAAACTATGTGTTATTATAACTCATATTTATTTTAATAAACGGCATATTAATTGCAACATGAAATTTGCAATTTAAAAAAGGAAATAAAAGAGCAGTCGATATAAGAATAATTAAATAAAAAAAACTCACTCACCAGGGATTGACACAGTAATTAGGCGCATTATCTGAGCTGCATGAATAACTTGAGAAAAGAACAGATATTGTTTGATGGTTACAAGGATCCAAAGCATCAACCTAAATAAATTATTAATTCAAATATTTAAAAAAAAATATCTAACCAGAATATTTATAACTTTTCAAATAAAATCTATAAGTTAACAGTAAATTGAATAAGATGCAAAGGAACCATCATAAGAAAAAAATTGAATGTTTATGTATCTTTTGATTACAGAATAAATAGTTGGAGAGTTGTATTTTATTGTTGTATTGTTGTATTTTTCAACCTAAATAAATTATTAATTCAAATATTTAAAAAAATATCTAACCAGAATAGTTGAAGAGTTGCATTTCTAAATTTAAGTGCCAAGAGTTTCATTTATGCAAAATTATAAATAATTGTGCATAAACCATCAATTTCAATATAATTAATGCTTATAACATATTCTAGTTTATGAACAGAAAATCATTCAGCAGGTAGATCAGACAATGTTTAAGGACAGAAAGGATAATTGTACCATCAGCTGTTATTTTCAAACCAATAACATATTCAAGCTCATGCATTCACCAACTCACAATGCCATCAAAAAAGCACTATTTAGTCACTCAATATGTATGGCACATGACACTTAGAGGAAAACTGAAAGTAAAGTTGGGCTCTCTGGATTTCACATATTTAAACACAAACCATCTTCATTTATACTGAGAATGGATTGGATAGTTTACTTTGAACAATTTTTAGTGCTTATACATAATTTTATGAAAAGAATTTATACAATTGTAAAATGAATAACTGCTAAATTATTTTAAAAATGTAACTCATATAAAAACGTGAATAAGAAAAAATAATTTGTGAAGATACCTTTAATTGAAATAATTGTTAAACATTCTATATAGAAGTTAAACTTTAAGATTAAATCATTTTCAACTTAAGCCTCACTTATTTAGAAGATAACCTTTCAAACATAATCATCAATTTGAAATATTTATAAAATTTTTATTTTTTTTAGAATAATTTGTGGCTTTGTTTAGCACAATAGACATAAACATAAAAATTTACAGTGAAATATTCAAATTTGCCAATCATTTTTCACATACTGTAAAATCGTTTGCCTGATTTTAGTGAGAACAATTTTCTTTCCCTCGTAACCTACTTTTATTTAATTGTTTTGCTAAATATTATTGATTGAAAACAATGTAGAAAGATTTATTGGTAGGAGAAGTCGATGGACTTCTGATTTTTTATAACATATTTATAATAAATTTTAAAATCTTAATTTAAAAAAGGCATAAAATAGACATAACATTCAAATACCTTTTTTTCCCAGCACAGACCACTATTATTAGTTTCTAAAGATTTGGAATGTTCACGTGCAGTATTCTGATGAGAATTTGTCGCCTTCTTTTCCTTTTCTTTTGCCAAGCGTTCATGAGGACATAAAAACTTGATCATTCCACCTCTAGCTCGAAAATCCGCTAAAAGTGCTTGTATATCAAGAGATGCACTTAACATATCAGTTATTTTAACACCTATAAATTTATGACTAGATAATAATTCCACATTTTTACTATTTATAATGCTTTTTATTCCAGAAATTTCTTCCTCTAAATCAGACGCTGGGGTATCAATTTGGTGCAGTATACTCATATCACTGTCTTTCGCGAAATGCCGAGACCAGTAAATCTCTTGAGGGAAAAATTTCCTTAGCCCACACTTTTTACCGGTTTCGCCTTCCAGAAACGGAACGCTCAATTTGACATTCAGAGATATGCATAAAATCACATCATCCAAAAGTTTGCTGAATGTGTTTGTAGTGGGTAGAACATTTACTTTCAAGTCATCCACAGGTTCAGGCTGAAATGTGTCACTTTCTGAGTGCAGGTAAGAATGAAGGGGATCACTAAAGTCGCTTATCGATTCAGTTTCTAGTTTTTTACCCAATTCATCAAATTTACTCCTTCTATTAAGCTGCTTCTGGTTTAGAGTAACATTGCCATTCTCTAAAACATCCTTGGAAGAAATAACATTTTCTGTATTTATTTCCTCTGCGCTTATTGGTTCATCCTCAGGTGTATCTATCTGCTCTTGTATTAAAGAAGGAACAAAAGCAAATTCATCCATCAAAAATGAGCGCTCCAGTTGCCAGTTGTAAGCAACATAAATCATGAACTGGACCACTTGTTTAACCTGAAGCAAATGTTTAATATGATGTTAAGTATCAATAATTTTAAAAAAAGGTTCATGATCAGGAAATTACAGAATAAAGCAACTGAAAAAAATAACTACAATAAATAAGAAATGATTAATATTTTATTTATACACTTAAAAAGATTACTGAGCAATAATTATGGAACATCTATCCCGTAATTGCAGGTTTTCAGTGACAATGGCAAATAATAACCAATAAAAATGGCAAATAATGAGGAAAAATTAATTTTAAGTTAACAGAACCACCTAAATGTTAAGTTATCATTACTCAGCAATATTACTTTTTAATTTTTTAAAATTTTAATAAATTTTATTATTACACTAATTAAATGTTACAAAAGCTGTCATTTAATTCCTTCATTACAACATTTGATGTGTCTTAAAGACAAACAAATGAGCCAGATCAAATTGAGGTAATGTTTCCTATGAGGCTGTTTTTTTTATGCTACATTGAATTAAACCAAAGCAGTGTTAATAAGGTTAATAGTTACAAAAACTTTTTTTATAAAACTACAGTTTAGTACTTACACACATTTATGCATTCCACGTCTTTATATAGAAAAGAGACATATTGGATCAGATGTATTATTTTAAGTCGAATTACATAACATTAAAACCGTACTTACACACATTTATGCATTCCACATCTTTATATAGAAAAGAGACATATTGGATCAGATGTATTATTTTAAGCCGAATTACATAACATTAAAACCAAGTTAATAAGACTAATGGTTTAAAAGAAAATTAGGGTTTTATGTATGAAATTTATAATGTTTGACTTAGACGCTATTATGCACAAAATCCTTATAGCTTCTAAACTATCTATTCCATCGATATGGTTTTGATCTCATTCAATAAAGAAGAACTTCAAAATATAGGCATGAAATAATGAATTTTTTCGTGAAAGAACAGTGTTTTCACTACAGCGCAAGAATCTTGCTTATTTTTTTCTTTTCTAGCATTAAAAAATTATTAATGCGAGAATTTTGGGAAAAAAATTTCTGCCATTTTGAATAAAATTCGTTTCACTTTCATTATTTTCAACATTGATCCCTGTTATCTAGCTTCCCTATTTACCAGTACTGTTCAGAACCAGTGCGAACAGCAGAACACAATGCCCCCCTCCCCGAATGATGGAACACCTTTCAGAACACATTTCTCTGCAACCAAGTGTTCACTGAAGGTAAGATTTCTTCATGTAAGACGTTTAAATTTTTCTCAATGCTACAAATTTACTTAGTGATTCCAAATTGTTCAGCATCTGTTGCAAGGTCATTTAGCACTCAAAACCGAATTAAGACAAAATATTGTAAACAAATGACTGATAAACATTAGAGCAGCCTAATGTTTCTCATTAAGAAATGAAAAATGAAAAAATAGATATAGATCTGATGAAAAAATAGATATAGAACGTTTTCCATATGATGATGCAGCAAAAATATTCAATGCTTTAAAAATTAGAAGATGTTAAAAATGTATTATAATTAAAGAAATATTTTCTCTAAGTCTATTCGCGTTTTTTTAATTTTTAGAAATCTCACTTAACTTTTTGAGATCTCACCCTATTTTTGAGAAAGGGTGAGAAATTCTCTCTTATTTTTTTTCTGTAATGAAANTGAAATTTATAATGTTTGTCTTAGACGCTATTATGCATAAAATCCTTATAGCTTCTAAACTATCTATTCCATCGATATGGTTTTGATCTCATTCAATAAAGAAGAACTTCAAAATATAGGCATGAAATAATGAATTTTTTCGTGAAAGACTACAGCGCGAGAATCTCGCTTATTTTTTTCTTTTCTAGCATTAAAAAATTATTAATGCGAGAATTTTGGAAAAAAAAAATTTCTGCCATTTTGAATAAAATTCGTTTCACTTTCATTATTTTCAACATTGAATAGATATAGAACGTTTTCCATATAATGATACAGCACAAATATTCAATGCTTTAAAAATTAGAAGATGTTAAAAATGTATTATAATTAAAGAAATATTTCTTCCAAGTCTATTCGTGTTTTTTTTTAATTTTTAGAAATCTCACCTAACTTTTTGAGATCTCACCCTATTTTTGAGAAAGGGTGAGAAATTCTCTCTTATTTTTTTTCTGTAATGAAAACACTGAAGAAGGAAAATATTTAATAAAGCTCACTTTTCTCAGCTCATTTGCAGATCCACCTCGCAATAATATAGTACATCCCAAGTTTTCTGGACACCCATCAAAAAACATCAAGGTTTTGAACTTAGCTAAATAATAAAAATCGTAATTGCTGAGAATCTAACTAAACACAATTCAAGAAATAAATAGAAAAAAAAAATTTGAACTTTAATATTTTCTTTTCTGTTGCATTTTATAGAAAAAAAATGGAAGAAAAAGAAAGAAAACACATAAATTGTTTCTTTGTATAATACTTTAAAGAGATACTGGTAATGTAGCCAAATCAATCAATAGCTAAAAAATTACATTGAATATGAACTTATAGAAAAATTCTAATTTTTACAATTCTATATTTTTATATAAAATATTGATAACAATAAATAACATTATATAATATTAAATAATTGATCATGTACATCAACAACAGCTAACCAGTACAGTCAGGGTACTGAAGAAGAAAAAAATTGGTAGCAAAGTAAAAACTAGTAAAGAATATCTAAATTTAACTCCAACATTAAAAAAACTTTTCTATGATTTTTGCACCCAAACATATTTTTCATTTAAATTGTAAAATTTTTTAGCACTTATTAATGGCGTATATTCTGATGTATAAGTTGACCTATTGTACAAGACGACCCTTTTTAAGATTAGAAAATAGCAAATTTCTGATATGTGGGGTGAATTAGTCAACTGCTGAAAAATATTTATAAAATATACTTAATAATATTTTTTTAAATACTTTTGAATACATTAGATTAATCTTTCTTATACTTATTTTTTAACGTAATTTAAAGTATTAAATGTAACGAACATAAGTGAAAAAGAACGACTTTATAAAGCAAATATGATGAGAGAAAAGGCAAAATTAATTGTATATATACATTAAACGTAAATTTTGCAATGGGTAAATGATAATTATTCTTATTTATCTCCTTGTTTATAATGCACTGACATTTCAGTATCAACGATTGTCCTACTTTATAACCAGTATGTAAGTTAAGTCCTGATTTTTGTAAAATTTGGGGGGTTTGAAAGGGAGATTTATTCAATGGGAACATAAAACATTTATATTTTTCTTAATTTTGCTACCACATTCAAAAATTTTACAGATCACGGCACCCCTGACAATATCTTTAAAAATAAATATTTAAGTTGGAAACAACTAATATACACAGTAAATGTTGTTATAAATTGAAAAAAATTGGTTTTTCATATCAGTAAATTGCATAATCACACAATAGTTTGTTTTAACCAATTATGATGAAAAGAACAGAAAAATATTAATACAATTTAACAAAACTATTGCAGCAACAATTTTAATATAAGTCAATATCGTTTGCAATACATAGGCAATAGCAGATCCTATTCAAGAAGGAAAAAATATAAGAAAAAGATAAATACAAAATGAGCTTCAATATATAGGGCATAAACTTTACAGGGCAAAAAAAAAATTTCTAATTGTTTTTTTGAAAATTTACAAGATCTACATAACTAAAATTAGTGTTACTTTGTAGCTAATCATTTAACTCACAAACCACTTTTTTTTTTCTATTAACTTTCTTTATTTCTTTTAGTAGCATTAAAATAATGCAACAAAATTAAAAATCATTATTTAAATAATGATAGGCAATAAAATTAAATGTTTGTAATCTTTAAAGATGATAAAGTGCCACAGTAACTTCCTAAAATTAAAGGACTAGTAAAAATTAAGAGTCAGTTTGACAAAAATTTAGTTATATTGGGTGTAAAATAACATAATCTTGAAAATTTCAGTCTCAAAAATATTAAAATTTGTGATACTTAATTCTAACTATTAACTTCTAAATAAACAAATATTTTTTCTACTTAAATACTAATTGCTTTTTTCTCTTAAAATATATGGATAATGATCTAAGCATGCCATTTTTCTAATTGCATTGGTTCTTGAATAACAAATATTTCTATTAACAACTTTTTTCAGGCCATATTATGATGATTTCCTTGTAATATCCTAAATATTTTAAGTTTCAGAAATATATATTTGTGCTTTAAATTATTTTAAGAAATGTAGTTTTGAAGAATATGTTTTAAAACTAGGAATTAGAAAGATTTTCACTCTCTTAATGTTTTTGGCATAAAAAAAAAATAAGAAGAACAGTTTTTTACAGATGTATAAATATTAAAAAAACTGAAAAAAATTTTCCCTTTATTCTTAATCTGAATTTGGTAAAATATAAAAAAGTCCTAACTCAATATTTAACTTTTAAGAATTTGAAAATTTAAAAAGTTATATTATAAATTAAGTTATAAGTTATAGCATGGAATAATAATAAAGTTATAAATGCAACAATTTTAAACACCATGTACTAACGCAGTGTTGCTAATTGTAGCTCATTTAGGTAGCAATTTACTTACAATAAATTTTAAAGCTTTAAGAACAAATGAAAAAATCAAAATAATCTCATATTATAATACTTTTTAAATCAGTGATTTCTTTTTAGAAAAATGATTTAAATGAATAATTTTCTTTTTAAGAAATCAGTAGATTTAAATTGTGATTAAATGTAAACCAATTTAAGTCAATAAACCCTGTTACAAAATAAAAAGTAAATAATACTAAGAATTAGTTTGATGTAGGAATGTCAGCTTCAAAAAAAGTGTGGCTAATCCCCAGGAACGCCAGATGTACACTTCATTTATGCACAGGCTATTTGGAATCAAGAAAAATTCTGAGCTAACAATTAGCGTAAATTGGCATAATTTACCATTCATTATTAAAATTATTGATTTTAAATTTAAATGATCAGCAGGACAATTATTACCTCCAGAGAGTGAGTATGTCTTCACTTTAAATTGTTCACATGTTCCAAGTTGCGGTCTGCCAAGGTGAGCATCCACTGTTGATACAATTGCAGCTTGGGTGCCTCTTGCAACTCTTTCCATAACAGACTAAAAAAGAAATTCCATTTGTCAGTTAAAATGCTTAAATAAGAAAAACCTAATGAAATGAGAACTTATATTGATAATAATGAACACAAAATTAAAATAAGTTTTGGTGTAGCAATTATATGTTTTTTGACATGAAATCAATGAAAAATGTTTTAGATTTATTCACACGCATAGCAGAAAATATAAACTTTATTATATTTCATGCTTTAATCACAATAATGTATTTTAAAATTAATAACACTATCAATTTCAAGAATAGAGTTAAAAAATAATGCTTACAAAATTCAAACACTATTTGTTACTTTACTTGAATAATTGAGCATAAAAAAATTTTCAACAATATTTATAAGCTACCAAAAATATTTTTTTTAATTTGGACATAGCACATACATTCTTTTTATGTGAGTAACAAAAATGAACCCTAGATTCATAAACAAGCAAGGGAGATACATACATTATTTATAAATATTTGTCTAACAATGTAGGAAAGTATTTAGAAACTAATCTCTTTCATATTATAAGTTACAAGTATTTGTGAGACAATTGTTTATGAATCTAGAGAAAAAATAAAATTAGTGTTTGTGGTAATTCTTCGTTGTTTTTCGCATGTTTTTTTCCCATCATTTTTTGTCTAAAAGAGAGGTACTTAGTCATAATAAATAAAAATTGCATTCTGAATCTCTAAAATAGTGTAAATTAATCAATAGTATAACAAAAAATTAAATAAATAAAATAAAAGACTTTTGATTAGAAATTGCCACAATTTTACAAATTACCAAAATTTCAAATACTTCTTGTAGTTCTTTATTGGGTTAGAAGATAGAAATTTAAACAATATCTATTTTATGATCATAATCTTAAATAAACATAATAAATTCATTTTTATCAAGAATTTTAAAAAAAATTAAACTTTTTTTAAAGCTTAGTTGTTTAATAAAAATTTAAAAACTAATTAGCCAATAAATGCATTATTAAATCATCTTGATTTGTCATGGTTCCTTTCACAACAAAATTTACATATGACCAAATGTATCAAATCAATTAGCTTTTCTCACAACAAAATGCCCTCACATTTCTTAAATATTAAAATAAAAATCTTAAAAACCTATGCTCTTCAAGTGAAGTGCAACGGAGAAACTTATTTTATTTTTGTCAGACTAAAACAAAAAATGTAGGGCTTATCACTTCTGAAAGATGTTAGGGGAAATACTTGGTGGCGATAGAAGTTTCTTACGAAAGTGATGCACGCTAATTTTTTCATTTTATGTCCAGCAAAAATAAATTATTTACTCCAAATTAGTGTCAAAGAAAAACATAGTTCTCAATTTCTTTATTACTATAGTTTTTATTAATTTGCTTTTGTGTTAGTGAATATAAAATCAAACAATCAAAAATTAAGTCATATTCCCAATTAAATTATTACATTTTAAGAAATAAGTTAAGATATCAATTCAAGTTAACAGACAAGTTCAGGTATGTAATTTTAGCATATTAATTAAGCATATAAATTAAGATATTAATTCAAGTTAGTTGACATGCTTTGGTATGTTTCTTTTGGCATAATTTCAATGCACATGGTTGAACACAATGTGCAATTTTACTCTTTTCTTTTGATGAGGCATAGCACCAAGTATTTTTTGTTCTTTACATCAATACCAGCTTTATATTGAAATTTTTTTCATCCATTAACAAAACGACAATAACAACTTCTCGTTTTTTAAAGCAAAAAGTTTATTTATTTTTACACAAAAAAGTTAATCATCAAAATGTTACAAGCATAAATTTATATTTTTATTTAGAAAAAGAAAAAGAAATTTTTTAAGTTTCAAAACTAAAAAGATAAAAATTTCTTGAAAAATCTAAGGTAAAACTAAAAATGTCCTTGTAATTTACAAATCACAATTTTTGCACTAATAACAAATCAAATAAATGTAACCAAATTAAATTACACAGAACTATATATCAAAGCTAACAAGATTTAAGCACTGGTTGATTAATCTTCTCCCAAAAGAATTATTTATAAACTGTTTTAATAGCCCAACATTAAAGCAATAATTCAATCAATAGTAAAAATTTGAATGAATCTCAAAATATTTAAAATTTTTCCTCCCGGCACTAAATTAACGAACGCATCTGAAATAACATTTGAATTTCGAAACCAAACCCTAAAATAGTTTGAGGTACAACGCCTATCTAGACGACACAAGTAAAATTCAGCAAAGTTGAAAGTGGCATAAAGTTCTAAATGTGACAGACAAAATAAAATATACAATAAATAAATAAATAATATCAGAGAGTTGTAAATGCAAATTACCCAACAATTGGAAATATCAATATAAAATACTCACTGGCTTGACATTTAATGCAACAGTAACACCAAGCCCCAATAGCATTTCTTGAGCTAAGCGAGATACTGTTTTTTCAGCTAATAATATATCAGGTTTGAAAACAGTCAATTTTCCAATAATATTTTTTAAGTATTCATTTTCCTATAAAAAAAACTTTTTATATAACTATCTAAAAACTATAGATTTCATTCAGAAAACTATCAAAATTTATTGACAAATTTTTAGCATATAACAAATATAAACTGCTGAGATATATAATGTAAGCAGATAATGTAAATGGCAATATAAATGAGATTTAGAAGGATTTTTTTTATATATATATATATNTCTAAAACAAATTCAAATATGAAATCATTGGTCAGCAAAAAATTGTATTAAAGTAACGGTATGATTAAAAGTGTGTCTTATCTAATATATATATATATATATATATATATAAATTAACATTCTCAAGCTTTGCAGACATTTTAACACTAAATAATTTAATTTTTCTTAAAATCTTATTTATGAGTATGGCAAATTTTTTTTTAATAAAAAGGTATTTAAGTATCAATGTCACACTATATGAATAGCAGAGAAGAAACCTTTATACAGATGGAACTGTATATTCACTTTATCTCTCTATCTCTTCCCAGTTTAAAAGCATAAAAATTTTTTGATTAAGAAACTTTTCATTTATTGATGAAATGAAGGGTGGGTAAATGTTTTCAATTTCATAACCGGCATTGAACAGCTGACTCAATTCTGAATTAACGACTATAAATTGTAATTTTGAACCCAACTCAAGACAAAGGAACTCCTGGGTCAAGTATTAAGACAAGCTAGCCTTCGTGGAGAACTTTTTAGTGGAATTATCCCGCATTTGTGTTACATGGAAAGAAAAACCATGAAAACCGATAGCAAAGGGATTCTAGCCCATGATCCGCCTACTACTATTTAGGATATTTAACCTCGCAATCTGGTGGGTGCAAGCCGAGAGCAGAATTAGTATCAACTAGCTACTACTGGTATTCGACGCCGGGATACCTCGTTGGGAGGATGAACGATTTATCCCCTGAGCCACCACAGTTCTTTGAGTCAGACGAAATCAAACCAACCTTGTACTTTCACCTCTCATTGGGCTCACTGTTTTCATTATCATTGTTTTGGTTGCTTAGGTTTTTTCCATGAGTTTGTTACTTTGTATTGATCAATTTTATACAGTATATTAAAAAAAATGACTTTACATATTCAAAGTGCAAAATATAGGAAGCAAAACAGTACGTATTGTAGGAGAATGCCAACTCTCTACTGCATGTCTCCAAATAAAAATTATGTTTTTTATTACAAAACTTATAACTTTTTTAAAGAACATTTTCAGAAACTGTAGAAGTCACCGTACTGTACAGCATAAAAATAGATCAAAACATAAAAAAATTTTGAATAGCATTTTGATAAAACAAAAATAAGTTAATTTGTACACTGTTATTTTATTTTAGATTATTTAGATTTTATCATATATCATAAAAATTATCATGTTACGCAATATTTTTATTTTATTTAATAATATCATTAATTTGTAATACAATACCTGCATCAGAATAGGATCTAAAGATGATAGTTTATTTTCAACCCTTTGATAAGATATAGAGGAGCTCAGAAGTAAAACAGTTGGCTTGTCAATTCTTTGTCTCATCTAAAAATTCAACAAAAAACACACACACTTAGCTTAGAAGAGAGAAAAGTAATGTATGATAATGAAGCAAATTTTATATAAATGAAATTGTGTATTACCTTTTTATGAGCAACTGTCTTAGAGAAAACAATACCACTAATAATAGTACTTTCTGACTTGTTTCCTCCAGGAATCTATAAAAATGTTTTGCTCAAATTTAAAAAAATAGCAACCTAATAATAATGAACTACTGGTACTCCATGAATATCTTCGCATCAAAAAAAAATTAAAAAATATTTGATAAATTGTAACTGAAAGTAAACAGCCATAAGTAAAAATTAAATTTTGTAATAATACAAAAAGTTTAGAATCAGAGCTTGAATACATATTAAAAACAAATTAATTTCCTGCAGTCTGAAATACTGTTCAGTGCTTCAAATTAAGAAATAATATTAACAAATACAGATGAAAGATAATAAAGCAAAAAAATTTATGTGAAAGCAATTCTATAAAGTAGTAGCTGTTTAATAATATCAAATTAATTTAACAAAATAACAATAAAAAATTTCAGGAAACATTATTTTATTTGAAATAAAAGTATTTAGAATATTTAATTTTATAAAACGAAAAAATCAGAACTGTTAGGGTTTTAGTGAATAGATGCAAATAAAAAGCTTGGTCTATAGACAACTGTCTAGTTCTTTAAATACTTTGTTATTGAAATAAAATTTAAAACCATTTATCTATATTTATTGTGTATTTATTTATATTTTATGTTGTTCATAAATTACAGATTTACTCTAATTATTATTTAATTGTTTTATTAAATTTATAAATAAAAGTACCAGTTTAATATTTAATTTTTAAAAAAAAGAAACAAGCTCTCAAAAATATTAAAGGCATTATTTTTTTACTATAAGGTTATTTATGACAATCTCAGAAGGCTCTTTGTTTTGTATTTTTCAAGGATAAATTTTAAGAATTTTTAGGTCGATAAAAAATGTAACAAATACTATGTAGGAAAAAATACAACACAACAGGCTATTTTATTAATTTATCAAATTTTTTTATCAAAATGTATCAATATAAATAAAATAAATAACTGATAGTTACTTTTTTAAATTGCACATATTGTCTAATATCCATGTCATCGGCATCATTTTTGACATCTGGATGAACTGAGTTAACAACTCTATGAATTATGGGTAGAACTACATCAGACCAACATAATGAAAGAGATTCATTGCTGAGAAGCTGATTCAAAAGAGTTTGTTCGTGTTTTATGTATGTTTCACTATAAAAGTTAAAGATAATTAGAAATAACAAATGAAGAATAAGATAGCTCCTTTATGATAAAAATCATAAATTAGCAATTTCATATCCCCTCCTGAATAATCATAAATTTGTATGGAAGGTTTTAATTTTGAAAATTTTAATGGTATCTACAAGTTTTTTTTAAATGATATTCTATTATTTTAACTCATTAAATATCTGAATGAGAGACAAAAATTGAACTATAACAATAAAATATATCAAAATGAAAAAAGAATTTAAATCACATCACATTCTTATGATATCAAAAAAATTGTTACATATTTAAGATTAATTTAAGAAATTTGAAGAAAAAAAATTAGAATTAAAAAATAATTAAATAACACTATTTATAAAATAACAAATTTGTAATCAAAGAAAAAAAATTTAATGTGCAATGAAGTAAAATAATAAGGAAAGACATTAAATGTGCAATATTTAAAAAATTTATATAATAACAATATAAAAAAAACAAGAGAGTATTTTTCAAACTTATTTGTCTCATATTTCCTTCTTAATGCAATTAAGTAAGAAAAAATGAAAGTTGAATGATATATATATATATATATATATATATATATATATATACA